AAAAAGAGTAAAGGAGAGCTAGAAAAACGGGTAATATCATAGAAAATGGATATGTTCTTTTTTGTATGTATTTTAAAACTATCAGTTGCCTCTTTACTGAAAGTCCTCTTTACAAAGTTATTCAAATTTCAGTAGTTTTGAAGTTTTTATAATTGAATAAAAAACGGAATTTTTATCGAGTTGTAACTAAATGTTTCAAGGTTTTATGTTACCTATACTTCGTACATTTATAGAGCGCTCATCTGGAAAAACAGCACAAATGGATTAGTGATGAGAAAAGACATTTTGGAAGGGCTCTCTCTGCATACGATTTTTCCAATTATAGTATGGAAATAGGGATGAAGGCACTTGCTGAAAAGAAAAAAAGGAAAGAATTTTTAGAGAATACGATCAATGCGAAAGCGATGCATATGCTTGGGACCGCTGAGGAGCAAGTATAATATTGCTTTCAAATTTGCTTAGTGTTTTTTTCGGCTTTGAAAAAAAATAAGTTTTTTTCAGTGTCGGCAGGTCGAGCTGAAGAAACAGCAACTCAAGAAAGACAAGGAGAAGCTGATGGGAGTCATAGCAAAGTTAGATGAGAAAAAGAAGAATGAAATTTTAAAGGCTCATGAAAAGGTTAACAAAGTATGTTTTTTCTGCAGAAAATTCATTTGTTTTTTTGTACTCCAGTTTCCTTGTAATGCATTGGATACACCAGGACTTTGGGAATATTTTTTCGACATTGCTTCCTGGGACAAGTGCTAAGTTGGAGCCGCCATTCGGAGCTAAATCGGCTTTGGAGGGCTTGGAGGTCAAAGTTGCATTTCGAGGGAAGTGGAAGGAATCACTTGGAGAGCTTTCTGGAGGTTACTTCATATTTTTTTTGGTAGTATTTGTTGCGTCTATTTTAAAAAATGGTTTTTAGGGCAGCGGTCGCTGGTGGCTTTATCTTTAGTTCTGGCTATGTTAAAATTCAAGCCCGCTCCGTTATACATCCTAGACGAAGTCGATGCAGCCCTTGATCTCTCTCACACTCAAAATATTGGGGCAATGATAAAAGCCCATTTCAAAGAGTCACAGGTAATTTTCATGGTTTTTCGTATTCTTTGTCCCCAGAAAAAATCTCTTTTGTAGTTTGTGATAGTATCGTTGAAAGATGGTATGTTCAACCACGCAAATGTCCTTTTCAAAACTCGATTTGCTGATGGTACTTCGACGGTGACTAGAACTGAAAATCGCAGTAACTGGAGCGGTGAAGGTGGTGCTGATGAGATTGTTGGTGGTGAGGGCGAGCCTGAGAAGAAGAGACGGAGGAAAAGCTAATAACACCGTGTTGTATAATATGTATAATTGTGTCTTTCCTACAAAATGGATCTCTCAGTTGGTGATTTTTGATCTCTCTGCAGTTTTTGGAAGTCTCTCAATTGACCAGACAGCAAAAGTTCAATAGGTGTTGAGATTTAGAGAAGCAGTATTGAAAACTATTTTGGAGTTTTCAGAAATTGCTATGTGTAACTAAATTAATTTTTTGAATAATCAATCATTATTCTTTAATATGTACATATTTGCATTAGAGGCGGATAAAATTTAAAAGTTGGCAAAAAGTTGTTGCCATTGATGAGTTTTCAAATTTCTCGGTTTGAAGTTTTGGTTATTTGATAACTCATTCTAGTTTTTCTCACTTGAAGCAAGTGTGCAAATTCTAAAGCAGCGGTGATTATTGGTTTGGAGTATTATTCAATTTAACATCGTACAGTGATTTCTAAGAGCAGTAATCGCAAACTGAGCAAGGAGGTTACTAAACTCGAAACAGTTCCTTAGAGCAGGACAGTGAAACGAAATTTAAAATATTTTGGCAGAGTCTTGCCATTGTGAATCAGAATTTTTTAGATTTTAAGGTTTATTAAATCAATGTCAGGATTTAATTTTTTTTTCTTTTTTAATGGATATTTCTCATGAAGGGAATAATCTACAGAGTTTGAACTCGGTTTGACAACAGGTTAAGCAGTTCGTTATTTTTTCGACAGTTAAGAACAACAATTTCCGTATTTTTTGGGGATTAGGAAATGGATTGTTAGTCGTTATTTCCTTCTTTCGACAACGAGTCTCATATATTTGAACGATCGCAGTTGAAAGGTTGATGGTGGGACATTCCTGTCATATAAGAGCTGTTTTTTTAAATATTCTAAAATTGTGCTGATGGTGGTCTCTAGTTGGTTTTGGTTGGCTGGTAGGGGACGCTCTATAGTCCACACTCACGTTTCAAAACTTTTTAAAAAGTCATTCGGGAAGTAAGTTGTTGAGTTGGTTTAGTCTAGGGGAAAAAAATAAGAAAAGGGCATTTGTGGAAATATGGTTGTCAATTTTTTTATAGTGGCGTAGGCGGTGCATTTAGGCTTAGCGGTATTGTTGATTATACGACTAGCAGTTCCCCAAGGTGCGCAATATTGTGGTGGTGACAAATGCAAATTTTATTTCCATTAGTTGCTTAATCCGGAAATTTATTTTAGCAAAGAATAAAAAAAGACGGCAGGACGGAAAAAAATTGTTGGGTTTTCGAAAGCGCCGAAAGCATCTTCGTCTGCAGATTTTACCGGGGTGTGAGGGGCCGTCAGTTGCTTAAACCTTTAATTTTAGCTGCTAGTAAAAGACGTCAGAAGATAGGGAGTTAAAGGGAAAGATGTAAATATTTCAGGCAAGAACTTAATAAATTTATCTAACTTTCTGTTCACATAATTAGAGAAAATTTTTTATCTGCTTTTCGTATTAGCGATATGTTGCAAAGACGTTGGGAAGTTGGGAGAGAAGAGTAAATGGGATGAAGAGAGGTTTTTGGTGGAGAAAGCTGGAAGCCGGAAATTTAGATTTGGAGAATGCTGCTTTATTTCCTGTTTCTTCGTTTCGAAGTTGTGAGATTCTAAGACACTAACAAATCTTAACGAGCGAAACAGGAAATTGGCCGAGAAAAATTTTTAACTTCAAAACTTTCCAACTGCATTTTTGAGGGAGAAGGGGCTTATCGAAAAACAACAGAAGAAGGAGTGGCTAAATTGTGTGTGTACTTTTGTTACCGCTCCTGCTGCAGCTGCAGTAGTTGTGGCAGTGAGGCCATTTGATAAAAAGATTAATAAAATAAAAAGCTTTTTGTGCTTGGATGTATTTTTCAGCAATTGTTCTATGGTCATTAGCATCAAGGGTTTTTCCTGTTTATGGTCTCCGTTCCTGACGATAAATAAAAAAGTAGCGGAATAGGCAGCGAAGGGGGGAGACAAGTGGAAAGGCTGGAACAGACAAACAGACATCAAACACAATAAAGTTCATTCAGTAGGAAGTGGCATACGGATGAGGAGTTGGTTTCAGCTACGTAGCTGACGTTGAAAATTACTTTCCAAAAGCTGATTTCAATGATTTTTCGGAAGCATGGGACAAAAAAATTTTTTTTCATTAAATTCAATATGATGTTTTATATTCGAGTTGTAAAAGCCTCGTTTTGGAATTTAGAAGGCAGGAGATGAGATAGACGGCAGAAAAACAGGACTGAAAGGCTTCATCTTTTACTTTCAAAGAAAAAAAGACGTTTTTTTCTGTTTGAAAGGTTTAAAGACCGGAAAAACTATTGCTTTTTTCGGAACAGCTAGCTGAATGCAGATTGACATATACAAGATTGAGTGCAGAAAAAAGATTACTTTAAGAAGCATTATTCAGTAATCACTGTTTCTTTTTCATCAAACAAATCAGTCCAGTATGTTGTTTTTCAAACTAATCCATTGCTGACAAGAACCCTGCTTAAGCATTTAATCCGGCTTAAGAAAAAACAAAGTTCAAAAAGCAAAAGAAGAACGTGATTCTTCTCCACCGTTGTCTGTTCGCCCGTTAAAAATGAAGTAAACAACACTAATCAAGCAACCTGTTTGGTGGGAAAACTGGGGAACAAATAAGCTACTTTTTTTATTTTTCTTTTTGGAAAACGGAGGGATTTGGTAGCAGTTAGTCAATTTACAACTACTTATTTAGTAGGTATTATGTAATGGTGTCCACAGTTATAGGCTGGAGCAAAATTACGTCTTTTTTTCGTTCTTTTTATCTATCTATTAAATGTGTAAAGCCTTCTCGCCGCTTGTGCCAGAAGGAGACAAAAAAGTAAAGAAGAAAAATAAATAACAAAGTAAATAAATAAAAGACAGGATGTTGCAAAGTCCCAATGATAAATATGGCGTAGAAGAGAGATAGGGTGAAGAAAAAATAAAAAAACAAAAAAGATTTTTGACACTTATATAAGCATCATTGTTGATGTTTTTCGAACCTTTCGACAAACACTCTGGGACCATTTGGTTGAAGGATCGATGTTGGTGGCGAAATTGTCAGTTGAAATTATCTGCGTTGTTTGCGAAAAATCTGTCGAGTGTGAAAAATGTTAGTAAAAAGTGCTGTTTTTCTTGAGCTGGTAACCTCAGCTTTTGTTTATTGACCTGTTGCGCTTTTTGACGTACACTTCTTTATTGTAGCAATTAAACAAAAAAAACAGACGTGGAAACAAGGAACAACCAATAATGAAGAATTTAGATGACGGATCTTGAATGCATCTAATTTTTTATGGAGATTTGAGCCAAAAAAAGAGGGAGTACAGCAGATCTCAAATATGATCACTTACAAATTAAGTTGCACCCCCTCGAAAATCTTGTTGCCTTAAAAAACGTTGGTAAGTGTCGATGTTGTTCAGTAGAGCAGCGAGAAGTGGTGTTAGAAAATACAAATTTTTGGCATTATTTTTGATGTCAAAATCAAACAACAAGTGGCTTCAATTAAAATAACAAATATCATTCACTCCACACTTCGTTTTATACCAATAAACCAACTTTGTCGATTGTTGTTTCTGAAAACCGTAAAAAACAGACCAGTGTTATCTTACAGCCGGCGCACAATGACACATCTCTTCAGTTGACGTTATCAACAGGATCATTTTTGGAGTAACAAGATGCTGTTATATATGGCTCAATGGAGTTTCAGATAGTAAAATCAATGCTTTAAAAACGACCAAATTGAAAAAAAAAAAAAAAACGTTAGAAGCTTAAAAAAATAGTGAAGGAGGTTAGAATGAAGCAGAAAAAACTCGGCAAATATTATTAGGTTGAAAAAATTTGTTCGCTGTGCTGAGCACAGTACTATTTTCACAACGACGTCAATCCTTTGGTTGACTGTAATCAAACCAAATTTTAGAGTTGTGTTTTTTTGCTCAGTAAAATTTATAGACCTTATTTGAATGCCATTTGGTGTTTGAATATTTATAATTTTTTGAATAGCTTATAATCGGGGGAAAAAAAAGCTTATATAATACCGGAAAAGC